ACCGCCCCGAAACCCGGTGGCCCGGCCGAGCCGTCCTCCCCGCTTGGCTCGTGGCTGTGTCACGCGCAGCCCGTACGCAGGGCAGCGTCGTGCGCGTCCAACTGGGTTTGTACACTGTATCACATCCCGCTGATGACGCGCTGCTAGCGCCTGCCAGGCTGCATCCTGCCCTGGTCATGTGCCAGTCAAGCAATGGGACACACAACGGTCACACTCAGTAGCTGCATAAAGAGCTTAAGTTCCCCTTTCCGCGGGCTCCTCACCATGCACCGACGCTCAGCAGCGCTTCAGACCTCCCTGTGGTTCTCTCCCTCTCCCCGGGAACCTGCAGGGGAGCCCCCGTGCCCAAGCGGAGCTGATAAACACCTTGACCCAAGCACTGCGTCATCTTGATCCGAGCACTGCCCCGTCCACACGCTCAGCACGGGCAGGTACCCCGAGCTGGCTCCGCCGGAAAGAGCCAGCTGCAACGAGGACGGGGCACCCTGGGGTTCCCCCGAGCCCCCCGCGCTGGCAGTCTGCTTCGTGCCCACCGCTGCGGAAGGGGCGGCTGGTGCCACGAGAGGCAGGTGAGGCAGCCACAGTCTCTCAACACTCCCGTCCCCAGGGGGAGACACAGGAAAGGGGCACGATGGGGGTGATGGGACCGAGAGGGGCCACAGCACTGCGGTGGCCTCCGCAAAGGCTGATTCCTGCCCGGGAGCACCTTCAGAGATCGTGCAGATCTTGGTTCTTCTTGGGGCTTTTCTTCCCTCTGCCATGACTTGGAGTGTTCTCAATGACTTCCTCCATGCCTTTGGGTGCTTCTCATGTGCGTTTTACTAGCACCTTCTTCTAGCCCTCTGCCAGAAACATACCTCATCCTCCTCCCAAAAAGCCTGTTCCTGCCCTCCAGCACATCATGTCCCAGTAGTTTTTGCGACTGCCAGGCTGTCCAGGAGGGATTCATGTGAGCCCAGCTGTACAGAGGCAGCTGAGGAGCCGCACTTGCGCGACGGAGTTTGGCTGTGCCCAGGTGCGACGGCAGCGCAGCTCCCAGCAGGATGCAGGAACAGCGGGGCTGCTCCCGTGCATGGCATGGCCTCCGCGGTGCGGCTGGCCGGGATGCGGTGCCGCGGAGCCTCCGTGGTGTCCCCCTGGGTGCCCTCCTCCTGCTGGCATGCGCCTTGGGGCATCGGGCAGGGTGCTGCCCCTCGTGCGGCCTTGCGGGCACGCTGCTCATCTCCTGACGTGCCCCTTCGGTGTCTCTGCACCACGCGGCACTCAGCACCGCCGTCCTGTCCCCAGGGGGCAAAGTTTGTCACCCACGTGGGAGGCATTCAAGGGCCTGAAACTGCTACATGCCCTCCTCCTGCTGGCATGCGCCTTGGGGCATCGGGCAGGGTGCTGCCCCTCGTGCGGCCTTGCGGGCACGCTGCTCATCTCCTGACGTGCCCCTTCGGTGTCTCTGCACCACGCGGCACTCAGCACCGCCGTCCTGTCCCCAGGGGGCAAAGTTTGTCACCCACGTGGGAGGCATTCAAGGGCCTGAAACTGCTACAGCGGGACAAGATGCAGCTGAGCAAAGTGGCAGGGAGTGCTTGGTATTGCAGGGCCACGGTGCCGCTGCGGCCCTGCCGTGGGCCAGCTCCCTGTCCCCTCCCTTTCCTTCCTTCCTTCCTTCCTTCCTCGCAGTCGGCCTCGGTACACCCGGAGTCCAGGGCTTCGCCTTTTGGTTGCACCAAGACAGATTCAAGAGACTGTAATCGTTACTGGTTAAACAACAAGCTGCTAAGACACTAATCAACAAGTAATCAATAACCTAGCTAATTAACAAGCATAGTGCATAATTTACAATAATATCATTTTGGACAAGGGAATGGGATTTTTTTTGTTTGTTTGTTTTGTTTTTTTCAACTGCCTCCTAGAAATCATGGGCAGGCTGGAGACCCTGGGGTCTCCCTAAGACAGAGGGTCCCTTTTCTCTCTGACTCTGCAGCAGGGCAGGGGGCAGCGGTGCCACAAAGCTGCCAGGATGGCGCGGCCGGGACATGGGAGAGGGCAGCAGCAAAATCAGCTCCGCTTCCTTCTCCCCACAAACATGGAGAAGAGGAAAAAACCCTGCGTGCAATTTTGTGACGCCACTGGATGCTGGTGATGGAGAAAGGCACTGCAAGGCAGAGGTGACTTCTGGGGCCCCTGCTCATCCCAGAGCCTCAAATTTGGGCCTGGACAACAGCTCTCATGGTGGGCGACACTCCAGGAGCCACTGGGAGGGACGGGGCACTGCAGCAGTGCTGGTGGGTGGCAGTGCCCCCCAGACACCCGGGGGCGTTGCATGTCCTGGTGGTGCGGGCAAGGGGGGGAAGTCCTGGAAGCACCATGTCCCAGCTGTCATCGAAGGGTACCACAAGTGCAGGACGTACTCACGCACACAGGTAAGGACGTGCAGGGCACCGATACCCCTGCTTGGGGCTGGCAGTGCCACCTGGGTATCCTGCAGCTGGCACCCCCTCTTTTGGCACAGGACACCAAGCCAATGGGGTGTGCGGTCACCTTCAGCCTGTCCCTGTTGGGTGCCACCTCTGCTCCCCCAAGCTGCCCTGGGGCATGGGCAGATTGGGTCAGCCAGCTGGGAAAGGGGGCCACTCCCTGCCAGCCACGGGGGCACCGAAGTGGCGCTCACACGTGTCACGGCTCCTCTTGGATTTTCTCCACATTCAGAAGATGAAAGACGAGCTGGCCACTTCACCCTGCCAGCTGCCAGCACCATGCTGGCCTGCACCGGTGCCGCTGCCCACTCCATGGCACTCCCCTTGTGCAGCTGGGCTGGCCCCACTGGCATCACCAGGAGAGCCGGCAGTGTCAGCTCTCAACTCTGGGCTCAGCAGCCTCCCTCACGCTTCCTGTGCACGGCAGGGGGTGTCCAATGCCCAGTAGGGTCTGGTGTCCAGCAGCGAGGTCCCATGGAGGTCGACCCCCTGGAAATGCTCATTCCTGACCGGACCTCCAGGTTGTGACTGACACCGTCTTCTACAGCCGCAGGCCCCATAGTGGGGACCCAGCGCGCGCAGCGTGGGTGAGTGTTGCAGTGCCCGGCCCCGCACCCCAGTGGCGCCTCGCTGCCACCGCGCAGCCCACCAGGACAACGTGGATGTGAGCCGACCGTGCCTGAACTCTGGCAATGATTTCATGGGCACTGCCGGACCCTCAGCAGCCCGTGTGCCCTCATCTCCTGCGGGGCAGCCCATCTCCTGTCCCCTCCCTGCCTCCCTGGCTGGGGGGCAAAGCTCCACTGCTCTCCCAAGCTTCGGCACCACCCGGAACCCACGTGTGCCCCAGAGCTGCCTGCTGGGCCGGGGCGCCGGCACCGCCGCTGCGGAACC